TATGTCCAAAGTTGATTGGATTTAGGGCATAATACTTACAAAAACAATGTTGTTCGTGTGCTCATAGATATAGAAGTGTAACACGTGAACTACCAACTGGAACTTAGCCTAAAGCATGCAAGTTGTGAAAATATGCCATGATCGACTAGGGAAATTCACCCTTGGACACCATCGATAAGAATCGAAATTTTCCCTGGCATCCCCCGGGCATATGAAAGTATGCCATGTACTCTAGCACATATAAAAATTCATGCAATTTGGATGTCATGGGGAAATCAAGGGGCAAAGTAGGTGCGTGAAGTGACATGTCCTAGCCATGTGTGTTTAGATGTTGACTTTGATGGATACAAATGCAAGTGGGACTGAATATGAACATAAAATGCAATCTGGAAAGCGTATGAACGATATTTAAATAGAAATTGAGATGGTATTGCACATAAATTGTCACTTGGTCATTTCATCAAACATGTAGTGTGCACTAATGTGTGTCAAAGCTTCCTTAGGCCATGGTAAGAGTTCAAATCACAAATTCAATACAAACCTATCACAAACCACCAAGCTACCTTATCCCCAACTCCTTAACAAAAATAAAATCCAAGAAAACATGAAGAAGAAAAATTAGGGAAGATGTGTAGAACTTACCTTAGGTACTTGAATGTGAAGCTTGGTAGTGAGAATGACGAAGTAGTTGTGGTGTGTAGTTGTGGTGTGTGGAAGTGTCTTGTGTTTGTACAAGTTTAGGTGGTATGGAGTGTCGTGTGTGCTTGTGTTTGGGCATGTTAGTGTGCTATGTGTGATAGAAAAAATAAAAAAAGGGAGGGGGGGAGTAATATGTGATTCCACGTGATCAAATGGAGAAAATCCATGTGATCACATGGATATGTTAATCAGGGCCAATTTAGGCCCTGGTACCTTCCATGTGGTCACATGGCTAGTAGTGCCATGTGATCACATGGACTACCAGTTAAAAAAAATTCTCTCTTTTTTTTTTTTTTTTTTTTTTCTTCAGTTTTTCGTGCCGTAGTGCAACATGAAAAATGGTGGAACACATATCCAATTTTGAAAAAACTCAAATTTTAACCCCCAATGCCACTCGGTGCTTCGACGTTCTTACCACTTGTCAACATTCATTTCAAATCATTGTGTGTGCGTGTAAGCCATGAATTTACTCAAAAAGCAATTTTTTAAATCTTGATAAGACAAGTGGATTCCCCCAAAACACAAGATTTGCTTCTTTCGCCCCAAAACATGTGAATTGTGCACAAAATTGATAAATGACCTTGTAAAATCCCCCAACTTGCTTCTCAACATGTTAAAAATAGCATGAAATCATGCTTCTAAAGGATTTCGAAGGTTGTTGATCAATTTAGCATGTGTAAAAGGAGATAAAATATGGACAAATTCAATTTTCAAATAACATTCCAAAGCTCTTGCAACCTGTCCAAACCTAGTTTAAATGGCAAAATGCGTGTGGATGCAAGAACTTGGTTGGAAAAAGCATGTTGTAACACAACTACACATCTTGACCTCAAAATCCCAAAGTTTGGTCAATGAGTTCCCTTGTTTTCCTAACACCTCCAAACTAAATTTACACACATTTTAACCCACATTGAGATGCTGATGAACAATTATACACATGGAACCCAGTATCACCCACATGTTGGATAAAAAAAAACTAAGAAAATAGTCTTACAACCTANAACTAAATTTACACACATTTTAAACCACCTTGAGATGCTGATGAACAATTATACACATGGAAACCAGTATCAACCACATGTTGGATAAAAAAAAACTCAGAAAATAGTCTTTCAACCTAGATATGCGTGAATGTAATTCCCAATCACCTAAAAATGATTCTAACACCACATAAGACATGTATAATGCATGAAAAACTAATATGGATTATGTATGGATGCTGTGTGAACGATCTAAGTAAATGATAACCTACAACTAACAAAATGGATAAAAAAAATTAAAAAATGCTCAAATAACTGCATAAAGCGAAATAAATAAAAGGGTAGAAATGATGGGTTGCCTCCCATCCAGCGCTAGTTTATAGTCGATAGCTCGATTGTACCGTATTGGGATAACTCTGGTGGTTGGAGAAGAATGGTGGATTTGTCTTTGAAGAAATCCCCACTCCAATAGTGCTTTAAGCGCTGTCCGTTGACCTTGAAAGTTCTTTTGCTTTCATGGGTGATTTCCACAGCTCCATGTGGAAACACCTGGGTAATAGTGTACTGACCGGATCACCATGACCTCAATTTTTCCAGGAAAAGCTTTAGGCGAGAATTGAGCAACAGCACTTGTTGTCCCACAAGAAACTCCATTTTCTGAATATGCATATCATGAAACTTCTTGATTCGCTCCTTATAGATTTTGGCATTCTCATAGGCGTCTTGACGAAACTCATCCATCTCATTCAACTAAAGTAACCGCTGTTCACCTGCTGTCTGCAAATCTAGATTCAACTTACGAAGTGCCCAATAAGCCCGATGCTCCAACTCAANACTGAAGTAACCGCTGTTCACCAGTGGCTTGCAAATCCATATTCAACCTGCGAAGCGCCCAATAAGCCCGATGTTCCAACGCAACTGGCAAGTGACATGCTTTCCCAAACACTAGCCAGTATGGTGACATTCCGATAGGTGTTTTGAATACTGTCCTGTAAGGCCAAAAGCATCATCCAACTTCCTGGACCAATCCTTCCTAGAAGAATTCTCCATGACCTCTAGTATTCTCCTTAACTCTCTGTTGGTCTGAGGATCATATGGGGTTGTAATGAGGTGTTTTACTCCATACTTACTTAGTAATTGCTCAATTGGAGATTATAGAAATATCTGTCCCCGTCACTGATGATAGCCCGCGGTGTGCCAAAACAAGTGAAAATGTGCTTCTTGAGGAACCCAATCATCACTTTTGCATCGTTAGTAGGCAATGCTACTGCCTCCACCCATTTCGAGACATAGTCAACCGCCGGAAGAATGTATTAGTTAGAGAATGAAGGTGGAAATGATCCCATGAAGTCAATTTCCCAGACATTAAATAGCTCCACTTCTAAAATACTCTTCAACAGTATTTCATTCTTTCTTGATATATTCCCTGTGAGTTGACATTGATCACACCTCTTCACGAACTCAAAAGCATCCCAAAACAAAGTAGGCCACTAAAACCCCAACTATAAGATTTTTCCTGCTGTCTAGGAGGCCCCGAAGTGTCCTGCATATGCAGATGAATTACACTACTCTAGAATGTGAGGAACTTCTTCTTTAGGCACGCACCGTCGAATGATCTGATATGCCCCATGCCGATAGAGAACTGGATCTTTCGAAAAGTAATATTTCAAGTCCACAAAGAACTTATTTCTCTGATGAGCTGAATAATCCGGACGTGGAATGGACTTGGCCAAGTAGTTCACAATGTCCGCGTACCAAGGGGCTGTCTCTACACTGAATAGTTGTTTATCTGGAAAAATCTCATTTATATCCATGGATTTGTCTGGCTACTCAAGTCCCAACCTGGATAAATGATTCTCAAATCAATTCTTATTTTCAACCACACACTCTTCAATAAAATAATATTTTTCATCATATCACTATTCAAAAATCAATTCTTCCTTCAAAAATCTCTACTAAACAAGCACTTAATTAATGTTGTAAAAAGTAAGAAACTTGTCAAATAATATATAAATTTATAAAGTGTTTATAAACGGTTTAAATTATAAATACATTGATTTAAATTATAAATATAGAAATATATAAGTGGTGTAGAGGTGTCAAGACGGACGGGTCGGCCAGACCCATGAAAATCGGGATCGTGAGCCGACTCGTGATCTGTGCGGGCAGTTCACGGGTCAAGGAGGTGTAACCCGTGGGCTTCACGGGTTGCACCCCCACAGCCTACGGTTAACCCGTAGCCCTTAAAAAAAATTGAAAAAAAAAAACAAATTTAAAAAAAGGGGGGGAGAGAGCCGTTCATCTACTACTTCAACTTCAAGTGCAAATCCACATACCACACCTGTTGAATTATAAAGATATTATCAATTT